GGCGCCAGGGCCCGCGGCTGCGAGGCCGCTGCAGCGCCTGGAGCTGCGCTGTTAAGCTGCCCAGAGCACGGGGAGCGGTGCGGGGCGGTGCGGGCGCCAGGCGGCGATGTGCGGATTGGGGCCCGCCGCGCCCTGCCTAGCAGAGCCGGGCCGGGTGAAGCGAACTCTCCGCTGCGGGGTCAGGCCCCCGGCCAGGCCGGCCCTTGCCCCGTTACGCTCCGCGGCTGCGCTTGGGCAGAGTCCCCTTGGGCAGCACCGCCGGGGCGCTCCGGGGCCACGGGAATCCACGCGGCATTGCGCCCTGATCCCATCCCGGGGTTGCCTTGGGAGCCAGAGCGGCCTGTACAGGGCCCCAGGGCGCCCACTGAGCAGGGATGGGGCCCTGGAGCGGTGGCTCAGCGAGGCGAGCGGCCCAGGGGGACGCGGGTGCCTCGAGGGCAGGGACGGCTCCGCTGGCGACGGGGAGGTGGCCCCTGCGCTCCCCGGCGTAGGGCGCGGCGCTGTCAGAGCACCCAGAGCCGCAGTCCCCGCTCGAGCGGGCTCCCGGGGGAGACCCCCCCTTGCAACGCGGTTCTTGCCCCCCGCCCCGGGAGCCGTTCGTTGTGCGGGGTGGGGCTACAGGCCCCGGGTCCGCTCCGCTGAGAAGCCCTCAGCTCTCCCGGCCGGAGATGGGCTCTGGGGTCCGGATCCTGCTCCCACCGACGCCTCGGTGGAGGAGGATCAGTTCCCCCTTTAGCGCCCTGGCTGCGGCCTTTATTTCTGCGGCGCGTGGGTCACCCCAGCTCCCCGGGCTGCAGACGGGCTGCTCCCCTCCCCTGCGGCGCCATGGGCCGTGTGACCGGCCGGGCTGGTGGTGGGTCTGGCCCTTCCCCCCTCCGGCGGCGGGCGCCTCCTTTGCCTACAGCCCGGACCATGGCCGGAGGAGAAGCGTCCAGGGCGGCGGGGTGAACTTCTGGCCCCGCTGACGCTAGTGGGGTGGTTACCCCAAGGGGGCTTGTGCGGACTGTGCCCGGTCCCGCCCCAGGACGGGCGGGGCACCCCGGCACAGGCTCGCCTTGCCCAGTCCTGCTCCAGCAGAGATCCCCGGGGATTTATTCCCCTGCTGGGGGGTCTGAGCTTACCAGGCACTGCTCTCACGGCCGTGCCCCGCTCCCTTCCTTGGGCTGGCACCAGCAGCGAGGCAGGCTGCCCACACCCCCTGGAAAGCGCAGGCCAGTGGCAGGGGGAGGGGGTTACACTCTGCCCTTGCTGGGATCCCCTGGAATAACAGCCCTGGGAACCGCCGGGAGTAACAGCCCCGGGGTATCCCCGGGAGTAACAGCACGGGGGGAGCCTCGGGAGTAACAGCCCCGGGACCCCCCTGGAGTAATAGCACCTGGAACCCCCGGGAGTAACAGCCCCGGGACCCCCCGGGAGTAATAGCACCTGGAACCCCCGGGAGTAACAGCCCGGGACCCCCCTGGAGTAACAGTCCCGGGACCCCCCTGGAGTCACAGCCCCGGGGGACCCGGTAAGTCGGTGCAGTGACTTGCAGGCCATAGGCAAGGGCCCGGGCTGGAGCAACCTGGGCGGAGGGAGCCCGGCCTAGCTGCGGTCTGGTGCCTGAGCAGGGCGCTATCCCGCGGGTCTCGCCTGGTCCCTGCTTGGGGGCGGCGGGAGCCGGCCCCGTGCAGACGGTTGTCCCTGGCGCGGGTGTGCCCTGTTCCCTGGAGGAAGGCAGGGCCTGCAGTGCGCTGGGGCGGCACCAACCAGCTTTAGCCGGGCAGGGGGCACTTCCCCTGGGGCGGAGCAGTAGCGGTCTCCTCCCAGAGCCTGGGGCGATCCAGGGGGGACAGGACGGCAGTGAAGGACCCGGCTCCCTGCAGCTCCAGGCCTGACCCGTGCCAGGGTGGCCCGACCCGTGCCAGGGTGGCCCAGGCGGCGCTGTGCTGAGGAGCAGTGACCGGCAGGTGGCGCTGGGGACCCTGCTCTGCACTGGCACTGCAAGCTCGGGCGAGCCCCAGGCGAGCCTCCAGATGGTGAGCCGGGGAATCACGGCCTGGCTGGGGCTGCCCCCGCGCCGGCCCCCGGGTGCCCGGTGAGAGCGGGGGTATGCCTGGGGCCCGGGTAGGGGGTCAGTCCCCTGCGCACCGGGGGCAGGCAGGGCTGTATGGAGCCCGCGGGCTCGCCTGGGCTCTCCGGGCAGTGCGGGTTCGGAGGCCTTGTCTGTGCTGCGGGGGGCCAGTGCCCAGGCACCCGCGGGGCTCTGCACCGCCCCCCCGGGCTGGGTGGGCCCGTGCCAGGCTGCCCCATGCCGTGGAAGGGCAGGGCGGGGCTGCGGGGCAGTGACCGGCACCAAGGGCTTAGGCGGCGAGGACCCGTCTCACAGACCAGCGGAGTGTGGGAGCAGCCCCGCGGGTTAGGCCGCGGCGTTAGTGTAAGGAGCGGGGCTCGTCCCCAGCGGGCAGGGAAGGCGGCGGCCCTCCTGGGGCCGGTAGGGCCAGCCCCGGCCTCGCCCCCTTGCTCCTCGCGCTGCGGGAGCTTCCCCCTCCGAGCCGGGGCTGCAGGAGGAGTGCTCGGCGCTGCAGGGGCTGGATGGGTCCTGGTGCTCCCCCGCTCTTGGTGCTGCACGCAGGGCCCCGGCTGAGTGGAGGGGAGGGGGCGGCCGCCAGTCTGTGTGAGCCTTGGAACCCGGGCATCCTGCCAGACCCCCTCTTCCCCCCGCCTGGGCGCCTCTCCCCCCAGCAGGGGCAGATTCGGACAGCAGCCCCGCAGTGCGGCGGGGGGGATGAATCGGACGCCTGTGGGGTTTCCATGTAGCGGGCAGAGCCGTGGATGTACCATCCCTTCCCGCTGCCCTCGGCAGCCAGGCGACCCGTGGGGCAGGAGCAGTTCTCGCATGGGCAGGGCGGGGCAGGCCAGTCTGTGTAATGCATGTCTGACCCCCGGCCTTGGCCTCTAGCCCGCTCAGACCGCAAGTGCTTTGCCCCCCAGACCCGCTGTTCCTGAGGCGGTGAGAAGTGCCCGCAGCTCTCCGGGGCTCTGGGTAGTGCCCAGCTCCCTGCATTTGGCGCCTCTCTCGCACCGGTACAAGGAGGCACCTGGCGCTACCAACAAGACCCGGCTTGTTCAAAACGAATAAATCGGTAGTTTGAAGAGTGGCCCTAGGCCCTGCCCGATAACTCGGGGGCCAGGCACCGGGAGAGGCGCAGAAAGTGACCGTACAACAGGGAACCAATTCCCAGCTCTACTGAGCTCAGCCAGCTCCTCCCGCCCCACAAAAACCAAACAACCCCACAAATTAGATCACACAACCCGAACAAGGCAAACAAACCCTACCCCTACCCAAGCCGACAGTGCCAGCTGCCTGTGGGGATAGGTTTTACCTGGCAATAGCTAGTCAAAGTGTGCATGTGTAGGTGACGGCCACTAACTCCACTGGGGTTTAAAACTACCCCGACCTCCTCTCACCAGGACTGTTGGGAAAATAACACTGTCCCCATGTCAACACACCTTTCTGGCAGTAGAGACTAGCCTCCATGAAGTTCGAGCATTGGCCTGCTAAACCCAGGGTTGTGAGTTCAATCCTTGAGGGGGCCACTTGGGGATCTGGGGCAAAATCAGTACTTGGTCCTGCTAGTGAAGGCAGGGGGCTGGACTCGATGACCTTTCGGGATCCCTTCCAGTTCTAGGAGATAGGTATCTCTCCTTGTTTATTTATTTAGGCCTTGTCCAGACAACAGAGTTAATTCTATTAGTCTCAGCTCCAGTTAGCCAACATAGTAACACACAGTAAATCCCAGTGAGGCCAGTTCGTAGTTTTCTCACATATTAGTAGGTTGTTGAGCTAAAGACTGGAGGGAGCCCCAGGTAACAGGTTGGATGGCGTCTACACTCTGTATTCACCCATGTGCTTCTAGGGTTTACTCAGCCTCTCTGCTGTGGGTATGGGTTAGTCTAAACCCATAGCTAGTTAGATCTGCCACCGGACATGTGAGAAACCAGCCAACCATTGGTGGCAGGAAGGCTCCAGGGAGACGCTGGCCCTTACTTTATAGATGGATAGCTATTTTATACAGAAAATAGTTCTGTCTATACACATTGTGTCTATTTGCGTGTCCCCCCCTTTCTCCTCTGACCTCTTTAGACTGTGAACAGGGCACAGATCTTTCTTACTGTCTGTCTCTGAGTGCTCAGCACAACCAGGGCGGATTTTTCTTCATTGAAGAGTGAACATTTCTCAGAAGCAGGGATTGCAGGACTGGGGCATATTTCCCAAACATGAGGCTGCCAGAAGCAAATCAAAAGGGTCCCTCAGAATATGGGAGATGCTGGGCCAGGCAACCTCCCCTGCGTTGGGGACTGGGGTGTTTCAGCCCGGCCTATTTTTCATCTCCCGCCTTTCTTTGCTAAATTTGCCATGCGGTAACTTCTTCATCACTTGGGGTCTTTTCACCCTCCCTGCCACTGGGCAAGTCTCCCTAAAACCTACAGTGTCTTCTAGCTTACCCGTGAATGATTGGGCTTCATGCAGGAACAGTGGGTGAAATTCTTTGGCCTGTGTTATGCAGGAGGACAGACTAGATGATCTCAGGGGTTAGAACCTATGAATCTGAGAATCCCAGCGAGTTCATCATTCCAAATGAATCACGAGATTCATTCAGCCTTGTTTCGAGCTCAGGAGCCCTGGAGACCCCCGGCCATTTATTCATCAGTTGAAATTATTCATTTTCGGTGTGTGTTTGACCCCCTTATTATACTCATTATTTATGAATTGCCTGGTGTTGATTTGTTGTGATCGATCGGATAGTATTTGTTTCTGTTCCTTGGCGGCATAGTTGTGCCTGCACTTCTGGCATGGATACTTGTGTGCCTGCAAAGAGACATTTGGTGTGTGGGCTGCTATAATGCAGATACTAGTACCAGGGCACAAGACTTTTGACCTGCACTTTCCACAAATACTTGTGCCAGTAAAGTTCCGTGGCTCGGACTGACTGCACAAGGCAGTAAGGATGGCGGAAGCCAATTCCTGTACAAGTTGGGAGGGAAGAGTGGCGGAAAAGCGAGCGCAGGACTCACCCAGTCCGGAGAGAGCAATGCGACCATCCGCACACATCACACCGAGTCCCCGGCCCAAAGAGCCTGCAAATGCAGGCAGGACGCGTGTGCAAGTCTTGTAGCGCTCGTGCAGCCCTGCGTGGGGTGAGGGGCCACTGCCCTGGGTCTCCCTGAGCGACCATTTTACCCCAAGTTCTTGTCCATCAAATGCAAATGAAACAACGACACCTCGAACTCGCCACGGTCACATTTGGCCTCGTGACGAGACTCCTGAGCTCTGAGCTGAGAGGGTTAAACCAGGAGACTTCCCTTACCTTGAAAAAGTTAAAAATGTCCGCAGTCTACATCTCTTAAAGGGGCGGTGCCGGTTAACAAGGCGTCTTGGCACCGGCTGCTGGAAAGGCTGGTCAGGGGCGTGAGTTCCCCTCCACCAGCACCAAAACATTGCAAAAAAAGGCAGCGAGCCCCACACTTTAGATAAGGACAATTAGCCACCAGCGAGCCCCTGCCGAAAGAGGGGTGTCATTAGCGGGGTCCCGCAGCTCAGCATGCCCCATCCCAGCTCCTGCCCCCCGGGGGTCCTCGCCCTCCTGGCCCCTTGGCTGGCTCTGATGGCGCACCTCTCCCTTTCCTCCCAAGCCGGGGACAGGAGAGCGGTCCCCGCAGAGAAACCTCCAGGAGTGAAGGGACGGACTCTCATTCTTCTGGATGTGAACACCAAGAGCCCTGTCAGGATAACCAGTGAGAACTTCCTCTCCTTGCAGCTGGACCCGTCCATCATCCATGATGGCTGGCTCGATTTCTTAAGGTAAGGCGGGAGCTCCGCGTGCACCCCTCTCCGCCCCGCTCCCCACTCGCAGCCCCCAGAGAGGCCAGGCGAATGGTCCAGAGCCCTGGGCCGGCTCCGCGCTGCGGCCGGCGCTTGTTGTGACGGAGCATTGAGTGTTTCCCATTAAGATGCACATGTTTGCAATGGAGAAGGCATTTCAGAAACTTATCAGTTATGACTGAAAAAATGTCGGGCTTCCCTCTCCCCAGCAATTAGCCTCGGCAAAAAGCAGCAGGCGGTGCCGAGCCAGCACAGGGAGCCGAGCGGGGACGCCCCCCCGAACCGCTCCTGGTTCCTGCCGGGCGGGGAGCCGGGTTCGGGTTCGGGCTGCGGGGCCGGCTCGCTCGCCCGTCGGCTGCTCGGCTAGTTGCGAGCAGGCAGCTCCTGGTACCGAGGGCAAACCCTGCCTCCGAGGTAAGTAGCCGTGCTTCGCCCGGATAATGTGGCATTGCAGCGGCCTGGAGGAGGCAGCCCCGCCCGGGGAGCGCCCCCTCCCTTCCCGGGGGCAGTCGGGCCGGAGGTCTGCAGGGGAGCGGGGTGTCTCTGGCGGGACCCGCTTTCAGCGCGCCGAGGCTCGGCTCAGCTACATTTCCCGGTTACGCGGAGGATTAGTAACGCAAACACACGGCGGGGCACGCTCCGGGAAAGCAGGATTGGACGCTGGGCTCCGGCGCGCAGCCCCACAAGCAGGACCCCGGCCCGGGGCGCAGGCTACCCCGGTGTCCGCCTCTGGGTTCCCTTGGAACAGAAGCTCGCCTGCCCTTTGCTCCGCGGAGGGCCCGGGCAGCGTCCCAGGGACTGGCCGCGGCGGAGAGGCGAAGCGCGGAGACAAGGTTCGGTTGGAAACCACCAAGCCGGGCCCAGGGGAGGGTCCGCGGGCCGGGCAGCTGCACAGCGCGGGGCGCGCACTCACCGAGGGATGGGACCGCCTGTGCGCTAGCGAAGCTGCGGCGCCCCCGGGAACGGGCAGCCGCAATGGTGCAGGCTCGCTAGGGTCGGGCCCGCCGGGGTCCTGGGGAGGGACCAGTTGGCCATTTCCCGGGAAAGCGGGTGGGTGCCCCCATCTTTGCCGAGGCGGGCTCCGGTTGCCGGGCTAAGGCGACCAGGGCCGGGCGCAGTGGGAGAGAAGTAGCGGCTCTCCCCGCCGCTCCGCTCCGCTCCGGGGCTGGTTGCCGGCCCGAGCGGGCTCCCCAGGTGGGTTTGCAGCCGCGCCGGGGCCGCTGGAAGGTCTTTAAAAGCCCGAATGAGACGCGAGCGCCTCGCCCGGGCTCGGCTGCAGTGTCCCGGCGGGAGTTCTCTCCCATCGGGGGTCCCCGGGCCTGCGCGGGCTTCTGGGGGAGACGAGCAGCCCGAGATCCTGGCCAGCAATGCCTCGGGCCCGATCCTGCCCGGCCCCCGAGTTATCCCGGGGCAGCCCCAGGCTTCAGCGGGGGCTGCGGCCAGCGCTGGGCAGGGACCGGCTCGGCCTTGCATCCTGCGGAAGAGGAAACGGGGCTGCTGGGACCCTCCAAGATCCGGGACCCCCGGGGGTGGGCTGCTCCGCAGGAGGTGTTTGGGTCCGGGGCGCCCCGGGCCAGCCCCCCCGGTGCTCCCCCCTCAGTGCCTCGCTCTCTCCTTCCCAGCTCCAGGCGCCTGGTGACCCTGGCCCGGGGCCTGGCTCCCGCCTTTCTGCGCTTCGCGGGGAAGAGGACCGATTTCCTGCAGTTCCAGAACCTGAAGAACCCGGCCAAGAGCCGCGGGGGGCCCGGCCCGGACTATTACCTCAAGAACTACGAGGACGGTGAGCCGGGGAGGGCGCGGCGGGTCCCTGCGGACAGCTGGGTCGGTGCGCGCCAGAGGCACCGGCTGTGAGACGCGCTGCGGGGTGTGCGCCGGACCCCCGGCTTCTGGGCAGCGGGACGCGAGGCAGGACGCGGGGTGTCGGTGTGGGGCGGCGGGAGGGCAGCTGGGGCACAGGCCCGTGTGTCTGGCAGGCGGCTCTGCGGGGGCCGAGTCGCTGCAGATCTCCAGGCCCTGGACCGCAGGGCGGCCAGCGGCCCCCGGGACCGGGAGGGGTCAAAGCCTGGCTCCTGCTGGAACGGTGAGCTGCGTTTGCCGCCGACTCCCGGGTGAGTGCGGGAGGGGCCGGTGCGGGCCGCTACGGGCCGGGCAGGAGAACGGACCTTTGCCCTTGGCTTTGGTCGGTGCTTTGACTCTCCTTATTTCTGCTGTGTTGGGGTCGGAGGGAGGCCAGGTGTGTGTGCGGTTCTGGGGGTGTGTGAGGGGATAGCGGTGGTGGGTGCGGGGAGGCCAGGGGTGTGTGGTTCTCGGTGTGTGTAGTTGTGGTGGGAGGGGGGGCTGGGGTGTGTGGTTCTCGGGGTGTGTGGTTCTCGGGGTGTGTAGTTGTGGTGAGGGGGGCAGAGGTGTGTGGTTCTCGGGGTGTGTAGTTGTGATGGTGGGGGTTGGGGTGTGTGGTTGTGGTGGTGCGGGGAGGCCAGGGGTGTGTGGTTCTCGGGGTGTGTAGTTGTGGTGAGGGGGGCAGGGGTGTGTGGTCCTCGGGGTGTGTAGTTGTGGTGAGGGGGCAGGGGTGTGTAGTTGTGGTGAGGGGGGCAGGGGTGTGTGGTTCTCGGGGTGTGTAGTTGTGGTGAGGGGGGCTGGGGTGTGTGGTTCTCGGGGTGTGTAGTTGTGGTGAGGGGGCA